GCTTTTCCAATAGAAGGCTTCCGTTTTTACCATTTTAGCACAAAAATTGATGTGTGTAGGACGTCTGACTGGACGTCCCACATGTACTAATTTCTAACTTTCATTCTACAAAAATGGTGGACGGAAGGGAGGGAGGAATGTTATGCTTAGAGGAAGGTAAGGAGGCTTTTCTTGTGAGTTAGCAGTTATAATAGTTACAAAAACTTACGTCAAATTTGACATAAATTTTGACATTTGTCAAATTTGACAGTCATTATAACTTGCCATTGAAGTAAGATTTTTTTAAACTACTACTAAATTATAACAATAACAACTCCAATAACTCGTCAGTGAAAAAACTCTTAGGCCCCATTTGTTTGGGGTTATAGGGAGGGGATTGGATTACTAATTCCTTGGTATTACTAATAGAGTGTTTGTTTTGAGAGATGAGACGGAGACTATTAATCCCTTGATATTAGTAGTCCCCTTGGAAGGAAGATTGGTAAGGAGGAGATAGAGATGGTATTAGAAAAATAGTGAGGGGATTAGAAATTTTTTATTTTTTATTTTTTATATATTGTTGGAATTTTTTTTAAAATATTAATGTTTAATTTTTTTATATTTTTTTTATTATTTTATATAAAAATAATTTAACAATTCCTATACTAACAACTATCATCAAAACAGACACAATTTTACTTAATCCCCTCACTAACAATCCCCTCACTATGAATTTCCTCCATTCTACCTCTGAAAACAAACGGGACCTGAGGGTCCAATTCGGTCCATTGGATCTACTTTCGAGTCATTTTTCGATAATCCGAACCGTTTACATTTTAGAATTTGTTAAGTACATTATCTCTGTAAAATATTACGTTGATCAGATAACGGATATTATGTATTCGGATCATTTTTTTATGAATCGTTAATTTTCTGACTATCTATTTTTTTTCTAGATAAAAGTGATTCGAATATATAGTATCTGTTATCCGATCGACATGATTTTTTACGACAATAATGTACTCAACAAATTCTAAAATATGAACGATTCTGATTACCAAAAATAATCTAAATGATAAACTCAATAAATTGAATTGGACCGAACTATCTCAAATCTGTACTAGTCACGGTCCGACCCTAAGTGAAAATTCTATTTTTGTTGTTTATGGGAGAGGGGCTCATGAAACGAGGTTGAGGGTGGTTCTTCCCATTCGGTGCTCCTTTTCGTTTTTTTTTGTTTTTTTATTTTAAGGCCTTTCTGCTCTACTCTTTTGTCCTTCCCTGTTCCATCATCTCAACTCTCTATCAAGTGAGAGAAACATAGAAAAAGAAGAAAGTGAAAGAGGAAGAGAGCTTAGCTTAGAATATGATGACACATGTTAAAAATATAAAGATTTTTTTAATCAAAATCAATTAACCATTAGATAATGGGGTCTCTGGCCAATATAAATTAAGATTAGTGGAGGCATGACTTAGAAAAGCATGTGAACATGACGAGAGAAATAGTTCCAAACAAAAAATAATAATAATAAATAAACAAACAAATAATACAAGTGATTTTATTTTTTATTTTTTGGGTAACATGAGGAGAGAAATAGTTCTGGTAGCATGTATTTATTTTATTTTATTTTTGTATATATGTATACTATAAAAAATTAAGGCTCTAAAGATTTTTTTTAAAAAAAATTATGAAAAATTTATTTTTTAAGAATTAAATATTTTTATTACGAAAAGTGTTATTATTATATTTGTTATAACATATTTTTAGAATTGTCCACGTAACCTAGGTTTTTAGTGAGGTGCCACGTAGATGGACCATGATGCCGAGAGATGATACTATCATATCGGAATCCGAGATATTCGGAGAAAGGACAAGAGTCCTAGATAATATCAAACTATCTATTTGGATAAAGATGATACCCTTAGGGAAGTTTATCTTAGTCTGAATGGTGTGAGTTATGATAGATGTTATTATTGTAAAGTATAGAATCCTATGAAGCACTTCTAGAGGACGAGAGCACTGTTAACTAAAAGAGTAAGGCACTGCATGAGTCTAAGGTATGTTTTTAATTGTGCACTGTTTACTTTTGTCGATATTTTTGAGAGATAAGTTGACTGACTTGATCGTCAGAGTGTCCTCGGATGGACGAGCAACTGTGATGTTTATTGTCTTATTGTGTGTAGGTGTTGACTCTTCTATTCTTTTGTGTGCTCTACGGTTAAGTTCCTTAGATCTCGGTTAAAAGATCTAGTTTGTTTGTAAGGTCAAAAATCGACCCCTACAATATTTATAAATGGACTAGCAAGCTAGGCCACAAACAAAGCCATCACCGGGTCAAGCTTTAGGCATATTAATGAGTTTTATTTTATTTTTTAATACTTTTTTGTTTTTTATATATACTGTCTTTTGGTTTAGCTAGTCGGGCCTCCAGGAACTTTCTGATGACCTCCGGAGAGATATAAAAATACTTCTAAAGTGTAGATCTAAGTTTTTATGCTTAGGAAGGGGGGTTTTAGAATTTCTCTACCGATTTCTAACATAGATTTTGGATTTTTAACATTTTGACATTATTGATGAAGTATTATACTTTAGGGACCAAAATTTTTGTCCAAAAAAATAAATTTTTTTTGGGACCAAATCATTTTGTCCCTTTGTATTTATTAGTGACATTTTTTTAATTGTCGATAAAAACTATGTTTTTATTTTGAAAAATAATATTTTAGTGACTATTCTCATGACACCAGAAAGTGGTCCCTAAATAATTTTTGTAACAAAATTTTCACTTTTTAATCCCTAAAACTCTTTTATATTAAAATTTTGGTTTAAAAACAAATGAAATGGGTGGTTGTGGGAAGTGTTTGTTGTTGGAGATTGTGGTTGTTTACCAAAGATGATTGTCAACCAATGGTGGTGATGGCCAAAAGTGGCTGTCACTGATTGGAGGTGATTGGTGGTAGTTGCCAACCATGAAATTGGTGATTGAAAGTGATTGTTGACGGTCGAAGATGGCGGCCGTCAGTTGCCTAAGGTGGTTGGCCGTAGCAAGAAATGCTTAGCTACCAAGGGTTTGGGAGACTGAATGTGGTTAGCAGAGGAGGTCATCAGCGATGGTGGCCAGTTATAGTGATTAGTAATTGGTGGTGGTCGAAAATGGTAAGAGAAAAAGGAAAAAATGACAAAATAATAATAATAATAATAAGTGAAACTAATTATTATTATTTTTTTTTTTTGTATTTAACAAAAATCTAATGAGTTTTTTCTTACAATATCAGAACTTCTATAAATATAAATAAAAAATTATAAATATGAACATTACTAGACACAGAATTTGGGTATCTATCCAATCCACCATTGTAATGATAGCACCTTACTATTGTAGTAGGATAGTTTCACTATTTAAGGACGAATTTCTTGAACTAGAAAGTGGAATGTTTTGGGGATCTTTTCACTTTTCATTGTCTAGAGGTGGACAAATATCAAGCTGGCATGATTTAAAGCTGGGAGTATGATTGGAAACACACACACACACAAAAAAAAAAATTGTCTAGAGGTGGACAAATATCAAGTTGGCATGATTTAAAGCTGGGACTATGATTGAAAAAAATAAAAAATAAAAAATAATAAAAAATAATTTCATGTCCGAGCCTAGTCCGGCCCCATTTGTAGTCTAAAAATCTCTCCCAAGTTCGGCTTTAAAATATGCAAATCTTTTCTATTACAACTTTTTTTTTTATTTTGTAAATTTTATTTTTCAATGGAGAAATCTTTTCGGTAGTTAATTTTTATTAAAAATTCCAAACAACGACGGCTAATGATTACAAACTACACCACATGAATTTCTGACAAATAAATTTATCTGTTGAAGCCATTACATCAATTTCCTACAAATTCTAAACTAAATTGTATATAGAATAATATTATATGTATCAATTAGTCTATTACCTAATGTACCAATTGATGATGTGATATAATTTTAAAAAAAATTTAATATTTGCAATGTGATTAATTAGTGGAGTCAATAATAATGTCATAACTAGTGTTGGTACACTAATTAGTACACTAATTGGTGCATATAACATTACCGTTTTATATATATATATATATATATGTATATAAATATTTGACAAAATATTTAGGGTTAAAATAGGTTATTACTTATCAATCAAAGAAACTTCCCTGTTACTTTAATTTGTTATCAACAGCACAAGCAATCACCACTATCACTATCAGCCCCATCACATAATTTTCATACAAAGAAATGTTTTTACTGTAGCTAAACACAACATTTTTTTCCCCACAAATTTCATATTCAATTAACGGAGAAATTTATCTGTTGGTGCCAAACAACATTTTTATACAAATTAAGAGTTAGAAAACACTGTTTTTGTCATAATATTTAAAGTTAAAATAACTTGTTACTCAAAAAATAGCTCTTTTCTTTCTGTTGAATTGTGATTATGTATCCTTTGTTTGGAGTCCTACTAGAGAAGTAATCTCACACTCACTGATTTTAAGTGATTAAAGATTTGGATAGACATTTGAAAATAGAAAGAAAAATGACTGAAAATTTTTACGTATATTTCATTCAAATTTCACTCATTTTTTCAAATCTCTATTCAAATTCATAATCGAGACATAGTCCTAGGGCAATGATTTTTCTTTTCTTTTTTTTTTTTTTTTTGGACAAATGGTTCTGACCATAAGAGAAATTAGGACAATGCCTTACTAGTTTGCTAGTCTAAACATAATTACAATACAAATAGGAATCTTGTAAGTGCAAGTCTAAAATACAAAATATTTGTAACAAACACAAGAAAGCTCTTGTTCTAAACACATGACAGACTTGCACCTCATGAAAATGGAGAAAAAAGAAAAAAATATTAAAAATAACATCACTGCCCAACTGATATAAGATTTCTTGGGCAAATATGACAATCTTTCGGAATCAAAATCTTTCCCACCATCATCTTATCCCAACTATATGTCCATTTCTCTTTGAAAATAACAACGCTAGACACCATCTCATAATACATATATTCATAGAACATTCATTAGGAAACGATCCACAAATTTCACAATACACATGACAAAGGGAGACAATAAGAAGAATGCAAGACAAATACAAATCTAGTAGCACAAGCCAACATGAAAGAGTCGAGTATTTATCCGATTATTCGGTACATATATATTACAAGAGCAGAAAAGACAAAAATAGTACCGTTCCTCTGACTTCCAACAATAATTTGAACTATTTAAGGAGAAATTTCTTGTACCAAAGCGCCGAAAGTTTGGGGTATCTTTTTAGTCCATCGTTGTAATCAATGTAGTTGATACCAAACCTCACGGTATAACCATTGCTCCATTCAAAATTGTCTAGAAATGACCATGCAAAGAAACCCTTAACATTGGCACCATTCCTGCAAAATAAAAAATAAAACAAAACAAACCCTTGTTAGCATATATTTTTGTTAATAATCAAATTCACAAATCAGTTCCAGTGCTAGAGATCCTCTATTTTCAAAATTTATACCCATAATACCATGTGATGGGTGTCTGAAAACACGGAATTTCCAATACATAAACTGTGTGACTAGTAGATTGAAATATCGGGATAAGAATTTTGAGGATACAGAATCTTCAATTCCACAACTTCATTTTAATTTTCTACAATTTAATGTGAAAACAACTATCTTTGAAGAAACCCCAACAACAACATTGGCAATGTCACTAGTTCATAAAACGCAAGTTATGACATAAAACCAAATGGTTTCATTTAGAAAAACCTAAAACAAAGAGTAAGCTCACCTAATGGCTTCTTGAGTAGCCAACAAATGGCCACGATAAAAAGCTATCCTCTGAGGATCATTTACACCTTCCTTGGTTGTCCTATTGTTGGCATCACCCATCCCTGAAAAAAAATTAAAAAATATAACAAAAAATCTATTGGAAGCAAATTGAATTGTAGAACATCGTTTCCAAAATGTTAACTACATCAAGTGAAAATGATAGTTTTTTTTTTCTCTTACCAGTCTCTGTAATGTAAATAACTGGGTTGTTGTACTTTTCCTTTGTGTAGAGCAAAAGCTTTTCAAGTCCTCTCGGATAAACACAAAATGCGCTTACATCAGTCTGCAAATTCATTTGTTGCAAGTTATGAATTGAACTAATATTTTGAGTGTAGAAACCAAATTGAAAAATGTTGCCATGTCTATATATGAATCAATGATAGGTTTTCTATGAACATATGTCGTTATTCAATATTCCATCTAGCTCAGTTTCTTGCTACGCATACCGGTTTGCCAATGGGTTTTCCATTTTTGCGAGCTGCAAGAAAAAAAAAAAAAAAAAAAAAAAAAAAAAAAAAAACATGATAGTTTAGAATTCATTGTGATCAGTTAAAGGCATTATTTGTTAGCATTTTTAATGCTAATTTTTGCTATCTAGCAAGCTTTGTTAATGTTTAGGTTAATTGCAGTTTCATGCATTTTGTCCTCAAACTATGCATTTTGTGTCCTTTTAGTCTCAACATTTTAATTATATCAATATGATCCGGAAAAATGCTAGATGTGTTAAAGTAGTTATCATGACCATTGCCATTAATATATCTATTGTTAGGATCAAGAGTATTTTTTCACAAAAGATTACTCCTCAACCAAACAATTCCGTCACAAACTGACACAATCAAGGGAATCAAAATGAAACAATAAATTAGTAATGGAAAGAAACCACCTTAACACTCAATAACACACATTAATTCTGATGTTGACCATGATTATTGCCAGTGTCAGTTATAGAAACCACTTTAACACACATTTATTAGTTAGGGAACAAAATTGAAACAAAATATTAGGTACCGGAATTTAACTAAACATACAGTTTAAGGACCAAAAGTATTGTTATTAGCCTTTAAGGTAGTATTTTGTTTTGAGTAGGAAACTACTATTAATCCGTGGCTTCACAATGAAGTCATTATTCTCCTAAATTGGTGAATGTCATTCATTATACTTGCAATGTACATTCTCCGCTTCTTTATCCTACCGAAACAGAAATAAACATTTTAACACAATAATTATTTCATTTCAACTTTCATTCCAGTAAATCGAACATTACTGTGCAAACTATAAGTGAACTTACTTGTAAGATTAATATGAGAATCCGTGGTGAGGCTGGCATTAATACTATTAGGGAAATGAAGATTAGCTGCATAATTTGCAGTGTAGTAGTTTAGCCCCATGAAATCAAAGGACCCTTTAACCATCTTAGCTTGCTCAGTAGTGAACTTTGGTAAACGTTTTCCTACAAGACTTCGCATGCTTTGTGGATAATCCCCATAGACTATTGGGTCAAAAAACCTGTTCAAAACACCATGGAAATATCTATCTTAATTCATTACTAGTAATCAATTTCATGTAATTAAAGGAGAAGTCTACAATGTGCACTGCACATCATAAAAAAGTTACGATTTTGGATAAATTATATTTTTCATCTTTTTAATTTGATTAAATTTTACTCTGGTCCCTATTTTTTTAATTTGAATAATTTATATGCTCAGTTTCAATTTGGTTATTTGATCTAAATTTTACAAAATTGAAACTTAATGTAAAAAAATAAAATTATTCAATTTAAAACAATAATAATAATAATAAATCAAATTTTAGTCAAAATTACATAATTTAAAAGTGTAATTAACCCAAATAATGAAGTGACACTGACAGAAATGTGTATGGATTCCTGGAAACAAGAAAAGTAAAAGGTGATTGGTGAGAGTGTGGGTGTAACAGGTGTGTTGTACTAACCATCCATACATGAAATCGAGTGCTCGTTGGGCTGCTTTTTGGTCGAGCTTGGATTTAGAGTAAGGCACCATCCAATGAGACACATGGGTTATCCCTATTTGCCCCTTCTGTGATTCCTGCACAAGTTCTTTCCTATCAAATATTTGTCACCGCCATTTATATGCTTGTAAAATTATATTGTATAATATATAATATAAAAGGAAACTCTATAGTACATACCGATTTTTATTTTATTTTTTATCTGTAGACTACATATCAATTATTTTCTTACTTTGGTTCTTTTTAATTTGTATAATTGCATTCTTGAATCTTATATATCAATTCGATATAATTCTATACTTTAAATGTGATGTGGTCTAAAAAAGCAAACGAAACTAATTATTTTAATCTTACATTAGGGATTTGAAACACATTGGATGAAATACTTGAAATACACGTCATTTACAAAACAAAACACATATAAATTTTACACTCCATCCCTGAAAGTTGATTCCATAATGTGTTTTACTCTTTCATGAATGTTACTTGACATAAACAAATGTGTTAAAATGTCCTTAATTCTTCCAAAACTTTATATGAGGTGACGTAAGCATTTTTTAATTGTTCTTTAGTTGACAATTAGAGGAGAAGGTATTTATTTAGATTAATGTGTAAAGATTAGGGATGAAATTGATACAAATTAAAAATTAGAGATCAAAATGAAATAAGCAAAATATACTTTACGGACTATTTGTGCTAGTTACCCATCTCATTTTCTATTTTCCGTTTTCATTTTTACAAAACACACAAAATTGGTTTAAAGAACTTTTTGTGATAAATAAAAATAAAATAATTAATTAGTTTCCTGATATAACAATTCACTATAAGAAATACGAAAAAGGCATATTTCATTTATTTTTTTTGATCGGCGAAACAAATCTTTATTGATGGAAACATACGAAATATGATATAGTACATCAATAAAGAAGAGTACGGAGCTAACTCAAGCTCGAAACTCCAGTTGGTGAGAAACCAACAAGAAGAGAAAGAAAAAAACCAGAATCAGAAACAACCAAAATACAGCCACAACAAAGCAAACCAAAAATTAGTAGTCAGCATAGCAACAGATTGCAAGACTAGCAGATAACAGATCAGACAGAACAGATTGCAACCAAAAAGTCATTTGAATTTACAAAAACTGTTTTTGTGTAAAAAAAAAAAATTAAAAAACATGGGTATTTCTGAACTTCAAAATTAATTTTGTTTTTGATGATTAAACAACAAACCAAAAAAGCAAAAAAAATAAAATAAAAATGAAAACGATATCAAACATTAGAACGTGACTAGTCAATAGAAGATGGACAAATGAAATCAATTGCATGCTTGATACAAAAGAATGGACTTATGCATGTGTTGAGGTTTATGGACAAAGGAAAAGTCCATAAAACAAGATAGTAACAAGAAAACTATCATGAATTTCAGACCTATGGCTTATATTTGGAGTCCTTATTGTGGGGTAATAGTTAAGTAAATCTCGTTCATTGATTTTAAATTTGGGGTTTATTTTGATATTTTTTCTGAGTCTATAGTCTTGCTAATGGACAAAAAGTCAAGTAATTATGATATTGGGAACACCTGCTCACCTGATATTTCTCTTTGTATAGCTTCACAGTTGCAGCATGAGAAAGGAGCATATGATGACCAACTATATAGGGTTCAGTTGCTGAGTCCCCAGCAGGGCAACCTTTGGACCTCCATGGTGAACACCTACCAGGTGCTTTTGAGCCCAAGTCATAACCATCAAGGATAAAAATATATGGCTCATTCATTGTCATCCAATACTTTACTCTATCTCCAAATTCCTTGAAGCATAGCTCTGAAAAATCTTGAAAATCTTTCCTGCCCATCACAATATTCCTGTTAGCCAATGGCAATGTTCCAAGATTGTTTTCTAAATTGCGGTTAGAAAATTATACGGTAAATTAAATTAGTAGTCCCTATATTTTTTTATTTGTATCATTTTAATCTCTATAATTTCAATTAGCTTGAAAATTATCAATTCAGGATCAAAATTGAGTTAATTAAAATTATAATGACCAAAATAACATAAGAGTCAAAATAAAGAGACTATTGGTACAATTTACTCAAAATTATATTAAGGTTCATAGGAAAATCTAAATGTGTTGTATACTGACGAAGGCCCTAGGTCAAAAACCAAAGATCTGGTACCAAAATTTGTGTTGAGAGCCTTTAAAAAACTCAACCGCACCAAGGTTGATGATAGCTACGAATATTGAGGATAAGAACCAAATCAAAATCACAAATAAAACAGAAAATAAAGAGAAAGATTCGACACTAGAGAGTTACATGGTTCGGTTGTGTTTACTTCGATGAATAATCTCATAAGCATTAGTTTTTGCTATCAAACAATGAAAGAGCTACAATGGCACAACTCTCAATCTCTCACCAAGCATAGATGTATTTCACAATACCCAATTTTGAGAAACTTATATATTCTCCAGTTTTCCCAACCTAAGGTCAGAAGAAATGGGCTTCTTGTTGTCAAAACCAAGTAAAACAGTAACTTTTGCGCACACAAAATTAAGGTTGGTTTCTTCCACCCAAGCGCCCTCTTAACACCACCCAAGCACCCAAGTCCAGTGGCAAAACAAATCTCCGCTGTTAATTTTTGCTCAAGCTGTGAAAACCTCCACTTGAGTAGTTAGGCCACTGCTCGAGTGCCACTTTCAGATTGAGTGAATCGGAATTCCGGCTAATGGGCGCAATATTGAGCAAAATTAGGTTGGTTTGAGACAGAATATTTAGTTTGATTGGTTTGGTGTAAAAAAAAAAAAAAAATTCAACAAACCAATTCTAGCAGTTTTATTGAAAAAGATAAAAGAAAAGGGCTAGAACAAATTAAGGGCGTATATATAATTGTACATATAATCTTAGAGGGTGTACACTCCAAGATATTTTAAAACCTTAGAATAAAGAGTAATTTTATAAAGTTGAAGGACATCATGTGTCCTTTTTTGGGCTTATAGGGTCTCCACCACTGATAGTAATTATAATTCACAGTGTTTTAGAAGATAATAGTAATGTTATATTCACGGAAAATCATAGAAATGTGCATAAAGAATCAATGTATGACCTAGATTCATTAAAAATGTGATGGGGATTACATAGAGAATGAACCATATTGATTTTTTCTATGCATACAACATTATTGAGGAGGAAAATGTATTATATTGATTGTTGAAAGGTAGAGTACCCTTTGATAGTACTTCAACATGGATTGAATGGAGAAATAATATTGGAATAATAACTAAGTACATGAATCTAAATTCCTTCATTATGGTAGTATAGATAGATGATATGTATGTATGAATTTACCATTTTAGACATGCTTATTATTGTAAATAAATTTTTTGTTGATAATTGAGGGTTTTTTTGGAAGCAGAAGCTAAGCCAGGTTGCCATGCTTCTCTTGTTATTGAAGTATAAGAGCAAAATGGGGAGTTAACTTACACTATCTGAGGGCCTAAAAAACCACCATACTCATCTTCAAGGGCTTGAGGAAGATCCCAGTGAAATAATGTCACAAACGGTTGAATACCTGTGCATTTAACAAAAGAAATACATACAAACATATATATATATATATATATACATTTGTGTTTCTCGTTTTACTGGTCATGTGCAACCAAAACTGATGAGGACATTCATACCTGGCTAGTGAAGAGGGATTGTGTTACAAATCTTGAGGTGAAAAAGCTTTTGAGGCTCTGCAAATCTTCAAGTTAGCAAAAAATTATAAAATGCAAGGGTGGGGATCGAAAACAAAGTTTCTAATATATATATATATATACACTTATATAGTATATCAAAGGTAAATAGAGACATACAGAAATAAGGGGAAAATTTGATAAAAGCATCTAACGCACAAGTGAAAATCCAATGGATGTTTAGTGAATTTCCAATATGGTGTAATATTTTTACCGCTGCATTTCAATGTAATAATCACGTTTAAATTATGTTCTAAAAATTGTCAGACAATTTTCATTATATTCAAAGAATGGAGAGAGACTGTTTGATTACAAAAATTAAAATAATATAAATATATAAAATAAATATATATAAAAAAAAGAAAACAGCTTCTTATTTTGTTACAAAAACAAAATCTGGAAAAGGAAAAAATAATAAATAGGAAAGTAAACTAATCACTTACAATATTATTTTCTCAAACAAAATTTGATCAAGTCTAGTGTACAACATTGTGTCCTTAAGATAAATTCGTCCTCTCCACGGTACTGTTAGATTATAGACGTCTATCTCCCAAGATAAAATGATCAACGACAATTTAGTTTTTTTTTTGACAATGACAATTTAGTTGTAGCACTACAAACTAAATGTCCAACGAACACACTTTGTATTTATACTCTTTCTCACGGGAAATTTATGCAGCAATATGCAGGAAATGAGAGCAGAGAAGAAGAGCAAAAATTTTTAGTATAAAATCCAAATGAGGGGCTGTCTATTTATAGGAGAACTAGTGGCTTTTCAGAACAGGTTTCGATAGGTAAAAACCTGTTCGGGGTAGTGTTTGAACAGATAGAAACCTGTTTGGACAGATAGAACCTGTTCAGGTTGAATTTTGAATAGATAACAGACCTATTTAGTAAAGAGGAATAGGTGCTTTGAACCAAACAAATTAATTTTTAATTTCAAACTGAAATTCAAATTCCAAGTGGTAAGAATTTAATTTTGAGAAAAATAAAATTCAAATGTTTTTGGCCCAAAAAGATAAACATTGGGCCGGACAAGCCCAACCCAACCTTACACCACGCACCCGCGCCCAAGCCACCCGACCGGACAAATGGACGACGGCGGCTCGCGCATGTGTTTGTTTTGGGTTCAATGTTCAGGTTGAATTTTGAACAGATAACAAACCTGTTCAGTAAAGAGGAATAGGTGCTTTGGACCAAACAAATTAATTTTGAATTTCAAACTGAAATTCAAATTCCAAAATGTAAGATTTAATTTTTAGAAAAATAAAATTAAAATATTTTTGGCCCAAAAAAGATAAGCATTGGGCTGAATAAGCCCAACCCAACCTTACACCACGTACACGCACCCAGGCCTAGCCCGGACAGACGGCGATACGTGTGTATTTATTTTAGGTCCAATGGGTCTAGCCTATAACCTCACCCTTCCACAAAACTTCGGTACCCCTTAGAGCCCTCCCCAAGTTGCAAACCCAAGACTTATAAACCCACATCAAGTTTGCCCATCAAAGCAATGTGGGACAAACATTAACTCCAACCTTTATAGAATTCCACCAAAAATACTATTTTCATGGAGCTCATTTTGGTATCGATTTTCCATTCATCCGATAATAGTTTTGAGCAACCAAATATACGATGTGAATCGTTATGCGGTAAAGAACGCATTGCCACATAGACCCGCCAACTTTGACACATGGGTCCCACCTAAAAATTAGGCTAAGTTTAAGAAAAATCGATTTTTTCTAATTTTTTTCAACTATTTCTTACAAAAATTACATTTAGTTTATATGAAAATGACAAATAGAGAAGATGAGTCACTAAAGACAAGTAATAATCACTCTAATAAGTGAATTTGTGTTTTCCTTAAAATAAATTTTTCGAAGAGAAATTATATTTAGCATTTGATAATCTATCTCCTACATAATTCCATGCCATGAACTACAAGACATTATTATTACTATATGGGAAAATTAGGTATAGATCACTCTATATATTTCTGTAAGAGTCGTGAAAATTGAAAGTTTGCATGCTAGTAAAGGTGCTTAGGATTTCACATTTTAGAAAGATAAGAAAAGTTTTGAGATAAATGATCAAAAATAGCCTCAAATCTCCAAAACCCTGCAACAATTTTAGATTTTTCTTTTTATACGTAGGAATGTTTCAACCACATATGTTCACTAGTCCCTCAACCGCATCTTTCTGTCGCCACCTCTTCCAAATCTACTACAATCACTACCATTGTTCAAAACCACCATTCATATCTAAAACAAGTCATGTTGGCCATAATCATATTTTAGATCTAAACTGAGTCATCGTTTGCAACCACAATTTGTTCGTTGTCCAAAACTACTGTTCGTACTTCCATCACTTTACCATCATCAAATGTACTTAGTTTATTAATTTAAGGACTAGTAACAGTGAATCATAGTGAAATTTATTGCACAGTTTAATTTCTATTCTCACCTTCTCTCTCTCTCTCTCTCTCTCTGTATATCTTCCTATTCTTCTTGTATTTCTCCTGTTGTTCAAAACTGAAAGATTGGTAAAGAGAGAGAGAGAAGAGAGAGACTGAATGACTAATATATTCAATGTCTGTTATTGTATTTGTAATTTACAAGAGAATGAGCTCTCTCTCTTTATAGAGAGAAGAAGGAGACAATGGAGCACCGAAAGCATAAAGGCTACATTAAAACAATATAAAAGCTACTGCTAAAGCTGAAAGTGTGTGGTAGTAGGTGTTTGCCCTTTACAGCTACAAATGCACTATAGTACTATAGTGTGATGTATATTATATATTAACAGCCCACCGCAAACTCAAGGAGGGTAGGCATCGACTAAGTTGAGTTTGGAAACAAGATCACGGAAGCGCCCAGGAGGATGAGCCTTGGTGAAAATATCAGCAGGTTGATCGGCAGAAGCAATAGGGAGAAGATGAACAGTACCACGTGTAACATGCTGTCGAATGAAATGACAATCAATCTCAATATGCTTGGTGCGATCATAAAAAACATCATTGTGAGCAATCTGAATGGCACTCTGATTGTCACAATAAAGAGAGGTAGAGCCAGCGAAGCCAGAGAAGTTCCTGAGTAGTATCAGCAAGAGCTCGATATTCAGCTTCGGTGCTAGAACGGGCAGTGAGGGATTGTTTCTTGCTACGCCAAGTAAGAAGAGAATCTCCTAAGAAGAAACAGAATCCTGTGGTGGAGCGTCGATCCATAGGATCCCCAGCCCAATCAGCATCAGAAAAGGCACGTAGTTCAAGAGAGGAAGAAGCAGATTAGTGAAGGCCATGGAACAAAGTGCCTTTGAGGTATCGAAGGATGTGGAGTAGAGCAGTATAGTGGGAAGTGCGAGGAGCCGATATGTACTGACTAACAATGTGAACAGCATAGGCAATGTCAGGACGAGTCACTGTGAGATAGACAAGACTACCGACGAGCTGGCGATAAAGAGTAGCATCATTGAGGAGAGCCCCATCGAGAGAAGTGAGACGAATCTGAGAATCAACTAGAGTAGATGTAGTTTTGCAATCAGTAAGACCAGCACGAGCCAGAAGATCGGATGCATATTTGGCCTGAGATAAATAAGAACCAGTAGAATCATGAGAGACTTCAAGGCCTAAAAAGTAGTTAAGAGTACCAAGGTCCTTCATCTCAAACTGACGGTAGAGAAAACGTTTGAGGTGGAGAATACCAGCTACATCATTACCAGTGATAATCATATCATCCACATACAGAAGGAGAAGAGTGGTACCATGAGGAGTAGTCCGTATAAAAAGAACAGAGTCATAGGAGCTAGAGGTGAACCCGAAGTCATGAATAGTAGAACTGAACTTAGCAAACCAAGCGTAGGGTGCTTGCTTGAGGCCATAGAGGGCACGCTGTAGTTTGCAAACCTTATGAGGTGGAAAAGTGGACCCAGGTGGAGGTTGCATGTAGACCTCCTCAAGAAGATTACCATTGAGGAAAGCATTTTTGACATCCATTTGAAAGAGCTCCCAGCGGCGAGCAGCAGCAACAGCTAGTAAACTGCGAACAGAGGTAAGCCGAGCAACAGGGGAGAAGGTTTCCTCATAATCAATCCCATATTCCTGGTTGAAACCCTTGGCAACAAGACGAGCTTTGTAGCGTTCAATAGAGCCATCAGAATGAGTCTTGATTTTGTAAACCCATTTGCAGCCAATCGCAGTTTTGCCAGGAGAAAGATCAACAAGATCCCAAGTATGAGTTTTGTCCAAAGCTTGGAGTTCATCAGTCATAGCTTGCTGCCAAAGAGGATTAGTACAAGCCTCACGATAGGAGGTAGGTTCATAAGTAGAAAAGGCAGCAGACCCAACAATATAATCACGAAGGTGGATAGGAGGTTGAGTTACCCGGTGTGGTCGACCCGTAGGAGGATCGGTGGGAGGAAGAACCGGTGGAGAAGGAGGTGGTGCAGGGAGAGGTGGACCTTCAGGGAGAGCAGTCTGGTCTGGAGCAGGAGTGAGCAAGGGCGTCTCAATGAAGGAGGAACCTGTATCAAAATCATCAGAGAAGAGATCTATGGAAGGATTAGTAAACAGTACATTAGTGGAAAGTGCAGGTAAGTGAAAAGAGGATAGGGAGGAAAACATTTGGTGCTCCCAAAAAACGACATGGCGGGAGATACGAAGATGTTTAGAGAGAGGGTCCCAACAGCGAAAGCTTTTATGTTCAATTCCATACCCAAGAAAGCAACAAAGACGAGAACGAGGTTCAAGCTTGGTGTGTTCATGAGATTGAAGGAGAACAAAGCAGGCAGAGGACATGTGTGTTGATTAGTACCATGCCCATGTAAGATAAATTGATAGAGGGAGAATAAATTGTATGTATTATGATTGATGTATTGAATGTGTTTTAC